CACATCTATGTTTTTCTAGTAAGAGTTTTACAGCACTTAAAACAGAATTTGGTAATATAATCAGTCCCTGTCAATTTTATACAAGAAAAAATCTGAAAGTATGCAAACTGAGCCCAAAAATGTGAAATTATGCGATTCTGTTAATTATAACAAAGAATGGTAAAGGAAAATAAACAGAAATTATGTTAAAAAATGATCAAATTTTGCTAAATTATGCGGGGTGCATAAAATAGATGTGTTACAAGAGAGTAGCATACACAAAAAAGGAGCAGAGATAAGGACGACAGATGGTTGATAGGAAAGAAGGAGCAAACCACACCAGAGTACCTGCCAACCACCCACACACATTTATGGAGATAGGATCTAACCATGCAATCGGTTCTTGAAAAATTGTATTAAACATTCCAAAAAAAACCCTTCTGATTTAATTATGATGCGAGAGGAGAGAAAAGTGGTCCTGCATGCAGTACTTTCAGACTATCTATAACTGGCATCTGCGTTTGTTGCCATTTTTTTTTGTCCAAAAGTTGCCAAAAGTTGCCAAAAAATGGCAAAAGTTGCAATTAATTTTCAAACTTTCAACTCTCTGTGACCACTTATCTAGCACTAGAGGTGACTTAGTCCAAAGCACCAGAATTTCTGGTGCTCTGTTTTAAGCATCCAGAATATCATTTGTGGCCACACGGCAGAGTTTTTTAAAATGTGAAAAATAAAAGTTTCACTTTCACAACAGAATGAAATCAAAATTAGAACAGCACATAAACAACCACAAAAAAGAACAAATAAGGGCGTGTGTCCACCTCTCCGAAGATTGGCCGTTTTAACCCTAACAACCCTATACGAGTGTAATTCAAGAAAAAGTACAGGATGTGAACATACATGTAAATTATGGAACCACACACAAGGGCCAGTATTCGGTTTTTGGTGGAGACACGCTGTAACATAAGGCGGACCCTCCATAGACGGCACACGGCACGCGGCACACAGCACATGGTACGCGTGCGAAATAAAATTAAACACAACCATTTAGAGCTGCACACTCCACTGACGGCACGACACAGCCATGACGAAGCGTTGCGTGCCTTGCTTTGCTGCATTGCTCGTTTTTTGTGTCGTGTGCTGCCAAAATGGATGACTACAAGAAAGAAATTATTGAACTTGTGAGAGACCGACCACTTCTTTGGGACCCCCAAAACCCGGAGTATCACAACAAATTTTTCTTCTGCTGATATTGGTTCCCGATAATTACAAACAATTGGTTGTAGACGAGGAAGCCCTAGGTTCTTCAGTTCATCATACGTTCTATATGACATTCTTAGGTAGTTGAAGAACCATGTCTCATCTCTACGTCTCATCAAGGAGCTGAAAGTTCGATGAAACTCTCCTCTACTACTCCTCAATAGAAAATGTTCTCTGCACCACATGATCCGCTTTTTCCTCTTCTTTTTCCGATTATTTAGAATTGCTAACATGATCAGAGTATCTTCATCAGACGAATCCATGGTTGTGATGTGTTGTGTTGTGATGTGTTGTGTGTTGTGATGTCGTGCTGTGGCCTATGGAGGGAGGGGTATTAGCCTGTGGCACGGAACGTGCCGACAAGTCATGTGCCGCGTGCCGTGTGCCGTCAATGGAGGGTCCGCCTAGCACATTTATATTTTTTTATATGTAGGAACAACATCACATTAAATGACATTATGCTGTGTACACAGACAATAGAAAAACAAAACATCAGAACAATTTTTTGTTTAAATCAACACACCAACAAGTTAAAACACAACAAAGAAGGAAAAAAAAAACCAAAAAACAGCAATGCATAGTATGGAATGTGCCTATAGTATGGAATGTGCCTATAGTATGGAATGTGCCTACATTCTTCGCAGGAAAATATCTATACATGGACACCTTAAAATTATCAAAATACATGTCTTATATAGTTATGAAGTTGCTTTTTTATGTTGAAAAATGCAAAAATCGTGGCCGCGATTCGCGGACCAAAAATTGCCCAAAAACTAGCAATCCAATCAAACAAGTATGAAGTTATGAGTCCACAAGGTTTTCAAATGGACACCCTAACAATCTCTAGTTTGTGACTATGCCCGTTGTTCCTGTAGGCTCCTCGTATAGCTTCTGGGACCAAGTACAGAGATGAGAACACAAAACTCAAGAAGTCACAACATGGAAAACATGGAAAAGAGAAGAAAGATCACAAAATTACACAATTGTGAGGCAGCATGGAGAAGTCAGGCTCTCGTCAAAATAATCAAAGTGAAGAAACTTGCATTTTTCCATGGGTTTGTGAAATTTTATCAAATTTGTGTTTTTTGGCTCAACACTTTTCATGCCCATTATAGAATTCATTTCCGTATGGATTTTTCTTAAAAACGTTGATTAAAGAAACAAAAAATGTAAATTTTAAGTTACCACAGACTCTTAAGCTAAGGAAATAACTAATCTTAGGTGACCATTTTCTCACTAATTTTACCTCTAAAAACAGGTGACCCCCACTTCCTTCATTCGCAAATATCTCGACTTGTACTCTAGACAAATGGATATTTTTTTCATTGAAATAAAGACAAGTGAACAAGCTTTAAGAAGATACCAATAACTCTACATGCCCAAAAATTGACGAGTGCCTGGTTCCACCGCGCTGCCTCACAATTTGACCTTTGAACAGAACAGAAGTTTGGCCAGAAAAAGCCACAAATATCTTGGAAGAAATCATACAATTTCCAGAAAGCAGAGATGCCAATTGGCTATGTAAAAAAAAATCCCGAACCTTTTGGACCAAGTGAAAACACTCACATCAGGACTCAAAATTTATACATCATATTGTCTAATTTTGATACATCTTGGATTCAAGATTCTTTTTTAATACGTTTTTTTTGGTTGTAAAAGTGAAAGTGCAGTACGACATGTACACTATAACTTACTAGTATAAGCAGAAATGCACCACAAAACGGGACAATTTCAGAAATTAGCATATATAATTGAAGTACACTCACCACAATGAAAGTCAAATAATAAATAATAATGGATTGCATTTATACAGCGCATATCCACTTATGCAATGCTCTATGCGCTTAACATGATACATATTATGGATTTACAAATCAATTTTAAAGGTACATAGTGTTACATACTCGTGCAAACGCATATTCACTCACGCACGACCACACACACATACATACACACATACACACATACGTACATATGCACATACGTACATACAAACTCACAACGATCTACAGCTTGGATGGATTCTGTCTAATCGAAATATGATGAAAATAGAAATGCTTTAGAAATAGCACAATAAAACAGATTCAACAAGAGAGAAGGAGAGAAACAGACTAACGGTACCGGTATGGAAATAAGAAACAAACCCTACACACATTAGCAGGTGAAGAAACCCCACTTTTAATGGAATGAATGCGTTTGATAATGGGAATAAAAATAAAAAATGTGATATGATCAGATAATGCCTCTTACTGTACAAGAAAGAAAATGCTGTATTGTAAGTATGTATATATTTATTTGTGAGCGACATATCTCTCGAAGTCCAACCCCTTGTCCACGCCGAGGGAGAAGGAAACAGGACAAAGAACGGGATAGCTGGGTCTGGGTGAAGTACGGTGTGACTTTATGTCACTGAGGCGTTACGCTAGCCGTGAAGGCCGACCCGGGTCACCCCGAAACGTTGCTGGCCAACGGGGCTCTGGTGAAACTGCAACTGGCTTAACAGGCCGGCAGTGAATATTAATATTGCTCAAGAAAATAAAATTAAAAGGAGACACAAATGGACAGATCAAACACGGGATGTCCTTCCTACAGGCCACTCGCCTTGCTGCAGACAGACGCCTGTGTCTCCCCGCGACACCCCCCGGTACAAGCGGAAGAATCAAACTCAAACTCATTTCAAATGGATTTTTACATAGTTGAAAAGTTTTTTAAAAAACAGATCATGATCTAAAATGTTCAAGAACTCCATTTTCAACAATGAATATACTGGTGTACACATCTCAACTCTTGGATAAAGAAATAAAAATTTCCTTTAAAAAATAAAATTATTTTATAATACAAAACCTTGCCTACTGACAAACCTATTTTAAGGTATCTATACAGTAACACACGAGGTGTGCGGTGGCAGTGGCGGAGCGGTTAGTGCGCTCGTCTCCGAAGCAGAAACTCCGGGTTTGAGCCTCGGTTTAGACACTGATTTTTTCGCCCCCTCCTGCCCACCCAGCAGTAATGGGTACCTGACTTCGAGTTGGGGAAGTAAAGGCGGCGTGGAAAGGAACTGGCCACCCTACCACAATAATAATATACCGAAGTCGCTAGGAATTTGTCTCACTAACAAGGCAATCCCCAATGTCCGGATGGGAAGTGGGAACAACTTTACTTTATGTAATGATACACATTGTTGTATAGGTCACTTTTCAAAAAAGCAATTCCCTTGCAGGTTTTGTCCAATCTGAAGTTTAACATTCTGCTCCTGAACCCAAACTACTGGTGCTCTGGCGTGGTTTGCTCCTTCTTTCCTATCAAACATCTATCGTCTTTATCTCCCCTTCTTCTTTTTTGTGTGTTTGTTACTCTCTTGTAACACGTCTAACCTTTGGCACTCATATGACCTTATAGTGTTGCAAGTGCCGTAAAACACTAACTAAAAAAAAAAACACCAAAAAACGACTGTGGTTGTGTCCATAGGCTAATGGTTAGGATGCTGGACTCATCATCATGAGATTGTGGGTTTCGGGATTTGAGGCTTAGCTCCATCCGACGTTGTGTCCATAGACAGGGGCGCCACTCAACTTTTTTGAAAACAGCAGAAAATCCACGCACCATGGTCTCGCTAACATGTGAATATCAATATGAAACCCAAAGGGTGTACATAGAGAGAAATGACAAACAAACATAAGCAATGGCTTTACAGTGAAGTCTTCCTTTTTCTGTTATTTGAACATTTGGCGCAAGTTGTTGTGTGAGTGTGAGGGTGTTTGTTTGTTTTTTTTTGGGGGGGGGGGGTTATTTTCAACTATAATAGATTCTATCTCAATCTCAATAACTGAATGGCCGATCAGGATCAAAATACGGGAAATACCAGGAAAAAGCAGAAAAGTGGCATCCCTGCTTATTTTGTGAATTTTCTCATTTGGCTCAGTCCTATTGGAGGTGGACCTTAAGTTTGGAGATGCCGCCTCTTAAGTAAAATCTAATAGATCTAGTAGTGTTGCAAATGGTCTTAAACCTATGATTTTGCCCACTTTTCCAAACAACTTCGGCCAGATTCCTCAGCAAGCTAAATTGCTAAATCCCTTAAAATCTATTCACAAAAGTGAGTCTGATAAAGGGGGTAAGAATAATAACAGCAGCTCAAGAATTCTCATTAATAAAACATAAAAAAATTAAAATGTACCAAATTCAGTAGCTCAACAAGTACAGTCAAACCTACTCTATCAACTAACAGTTCAACTGTACAAACGACCACTTCTCACTTGCTCCCCTGCGTTTTTTCAATATATATACAACATTATAATGGCACTGTCCAAGAGGACACCAGTCTAAGTCTAAGATGACCAATTTTCTCCTCAACATAAAGTGGTCCTCTTGGACAGGTTCAACCGTACTAAACAAATTTAAGATCAAGACTTTTTCTTTATAAAAGAACTTCAAACTTCTTGCGTACTGAACACATTATTCAACACTTTCATACTATCATACAATGTATAAAAACACAGTCTTCTTCACATCCAACACCTCAGTCTGAAAGACTTAAACTTTACTTCACTTATCTGATCCAGCAGCCATCTGGGTTCTAGCCCTTCGGCCCATACACGTCTGAAAGTGAAAGACAAAAACGTGAGAAGAGCCATAAACAGACAATATCATCTATCACTTGAAAGGCTCAGGCTGGACAGCCTCTGCACACTGTCATCACCCTCACTAGAAGTGACACCAACTTCCCAGGGCTTCAACTTCCTTGCCATCACCGAGGGCGTTGGCTCCGAATTGGTCGGCTGCACGTCTACAGCAACAACCCCGGGGATAGGGACGTTGTTCTGAATCATCTCAGCAAGCTCTGCCAGGCTAAGTTCCTTTTGCTCCTCGTTCTCGTCTCCTGTCACTGTCTCATCAACTTCAGATTTCACATTGTCCACGTCAGTACGACCAGTGACAGACTCTGACACAAGATTTCCTTCATCTTTAGTTCCATCTCTAATGCCATCGACTAAACTGTGTCCGTCTGTTTTGTCCAAAGAGCATTCACCTTCAGAAACACACAAATTTGGCTGGGCAATATCTTCCTTTTCAAAAAGAGACTTGCTCTCAATGACTTTGTCTACCTGTCTTCTTGTGGACTGAACAACATCACAGTCTGCTCGAGGCGGCTCTGCAGAACTGGCCTGGCCTGACAAAGAGAACCAAAAGAAAATGGAAAAGACATCCAAAAGTGTCATAAAGAATTATAAATTACTGTTATAGGCCTTGGAGTCAAAGATACAAATAAACTCACCTATAATTCTTAAATTGAACTCCTTCTGATACCGTAGTAGGTATCCATCTACTGAAGAATGAAAAGACCAAATCAGGGAAATATATCTTGCTTGGGAAACCAGCATTATCCCACCACAAACAGCTGAAAGTCGTATGATTCAACAATCTTATTTACAACTGATCAATTTCCTAATGAAGTGGACTGAATTGGAAATATCTGGAGGATATAATCCTTTGCACAATGATAAACAGTCAGCCATACAGAAATAATATTTACTAGAGCAAGCAAGTTTTTTTGGAGAACTGGAAGCAATAACAGGAAATTTACTTCATCTAATTCTTCTGTATGAACAGCAGAAAATGTTTCTCACTTTGCTGTGATTTAGAAAACAGAGTATTGTTTGAAGAAAGTTTTCAGTGCCCTGGAGTGGGCTAAAGCATAATCACTTACTCAATAGCAAAAAACATAGGTGTTAAGCCCAAAAGTAACTTAAAAAATGAACACTCAATAATGACCGCATGTTAATGTTTTACTTCCAAATTCAAAAACAACATCAAAATACCATGCCAATATGTGAGGCAGCGTGGTGGAATCAGGCTCTCGTCAAAATAATCAAAGTGAAGAAACTTGCATTTTTCCGCAGGTTTTTTAATTTTTATCAAATTTTTGTTTTTTGGCTCAACACCTTTCATATCCATTAAAAACATCATTTCTGTGTAGATTTTTCAGAAAAACGTTGATTATTAAAGGCACAAAAAATGTAACTTTCAGTTACCACGGACTCTTAAGGTAAGGAAATAACTAATCTTTGGCGGCCATTTTCTCACTAATTTTACCTCTGAAAACAAGTGACCCCCACCTTCTTCTTTCGAAAATATCTCGACTTGTATTCAAGATAAATGGATATTTTTTTAATCCAAATAAAGACAAGTGAACAAGCTTTAAGATGATACCAATAACTTAACATGCCCAAAAATTGACGAGGGCCTGATTCCACCACGCTGCCTCACATATATGTCTTAAATAGTACATAAAGCTTTATTATTCACCTTCTCAAAAAAGTTAATTAGTGTTCACAAAATATAACACAAGTGTTCACAAAATATAACACATTACTTTCAGTTCCTCAAGATCAAACTGGAATTTGTGAGGCATCGTGGTAAACTCAGGCGCTTGTCAAAAATAATGAAATCTGGCATTTTTCTACCAGTGAGGAAATTTTTTGCGAATTTTTGTTTTTAGGCTGAACAACTTTTATGTCCATTTAAAAACACATTTCAGTGTAAATTTTGCTGAGGAACATTGATTAAAGGCACAAAAAATGTAAAATTTCAGTTTCCAAAGACTCTCAAGCTAAGGAAGTTGCAAAACTTTGGTGACCATTTTCTCGTTAATTTTACCCCTGAAACCAGGTGACCCCCACCTCCTTCAATCAGACATTCTCAGCTTCAATTTAAGATAGATGGGTATTTTTTCATCGAAGGCAAAGCAAATGTACATGCTTTAAGATGATGCCAATATTTCCACATGCCCAAAAAGTGACGAGCACCTGACTCCACCATGTCGTGACACATTTTGAATTATTCATCTTCTTTAAGAGTCACCATTTTCCACTCAACAGGTCATAGCTCTTTGACAACTTCTTGGACCCTTTGCAATAAACATCTCTGCAATATTGTTTCCCAATGGAAGAAAACTGTTATAAGATAATAACTCCTCTATACAAACACAAAATCATCCACAAGAAATATCACCTTCTGATGTCTGATTTCGCTTGGGCTTTGATTCCTTCCACAGCAAATATTTGTCAAAGTCGAATTGACACACATGCCTGTAGAGGATAGTAATTATTTTGCTGTCAACCTGCTCAGTGATACCAATGTGACGATAATATCTATAAATAGACAATCGTCGGGGGTGTCAAACATGTACAATGAATCAATCAGGAAGTATTGTGATAATCAAAACAAGTATGATTTCCTCCTTGAGCAATTGTCAGGACATCATTTTTTTTTTTTCTTCCTTCATATTCCGTAATCGCTTTTACAAGTAATGTACAAAAAAGAAGAAAAAAAAACAATACAAAATAAAAGCATTGAAGACGCAACATACTTGCCAGTATGAGTAACTAAATTCTCTGCTCCAAAAACCTGAATTTTATGAGAATTCATTATCAACAACTGTAACCACAATAAAATTAACAAAATCTAAAATATTTAAATAATTGTTCCCGTTTTCTTAAAAGCAAATAAAAAATATTTTAAACTAGCTATGATGGGACACAAAAAGCCAGACAAAGTGAGACAATGCCCCCTACTAGAAAAAAAGTGAATCAATGCCACGGACACTAACAAAATAATCAGTCAAGAGTTGTCTCTATAATAACCTACTTTGAGAAGAAAAATGCCTTTGCTCGTAACAACTCTGATTCCAACTTGGTAGGATCAACAACTTTAGATATTGCTTTCCACCCTGCTTGAAAGGAACTGTTGTTCTCAAAGTCAAAATTCTCAAACAGAAGAAAGCTGCCTGAGCTCATTTCCTTAAATTCTCTGTTGCTTGTAATTTCTGCAAATAAAAAATAAAGTAAGCTGTTACTGTTACTTTCCAAATCATGCAAATCTTTCTTTCTGTAATTTTATACAATGAACTAAACAGTCTGCAAGAAAAAAACATTCTTCTCAAGGATTTATACATTATGTTGCCCACCTGTAGCAAGTAATATCTTGCAGTGTTGTCAATACAGTTTCCATTTACAGTCGCCATACATCATACAGGCAACATGATCCGGCTGATACACACATGAGATAGCATAATATTTTGTAATTGATATTATTTTGTCAAGAAAGATGAAATAACAGGTGACAGTATCAAGGCCTACATATACATCTATATATTTGCAAATATTCAAAGGAAAGCTATATAATTATAATGTATATGTCATAGGCCTTCAAAACATTTGTCTTTAGTAAAAAAAAAAAATTTTTAAATAGCATTTTGACCATTATATCATCATGTTTATATGTTTAGAGCATTTATTCACAACATTGAAACGTCTGCAATCATTAAATCATTTTATAGCAGTGGTCACAATGTCTGAAGGTTTTAATGACCAGCAAAATACAGACTTTTACGATGGAAAGAAATCAATTGTCCATCCCAGTAAGCCAGGTTCTACTGTAATTTGAACATTTGACCATTGGCGTATGGTTTTTCTTCTACTATGATAGCATTTCAAGTCATTCAGGCCAGTTTAAAAAGGAAGAGAGAAAGGTATGAGGCCAGCAGTGAGCTGACTTGTACTTGATTTTGCACATGGTGAGCACACCCTTGACCCTTCCCCTTAAAAAATTCAGAAACTCATCCCATATTATATGGGCACTACCTACAAAAATATGCCGCAATTGGAGTCAAAGTATACTCCCATATTACAAGTGAGGTCGTGTTATAGTTATACTAGCATCTGCGTTTGTTGCGGCCACGACCGCGATTTTTGTCATTTTTTGGTCCACGAATCGCAACCGCGATTTTTGCATAATTTTTCAAAAAAGACAAAACAAAGAAGCTACTCCATTACATATTAGACGTGTATTTTGATAAGTTTTCAGATGTCCATGTGTAACTATTTTCATGCGGAGAATATAAGTACATTACATTACATACTGTTTATATTGCTGTCTGTCTTTTATTTTTCCCCTTTTGTTGTGTTTTAATTTGTTGATGAGTTAATTTGTCTAAAAATTGTTCTGATGATTTCTTTTTCTTTTTCTGCATTTATACAGCGTAATGTCATTTAATTTAATGCTGTTCCCACCCTTTTAAAAATATAAAAGTGTTATTTTAGAGCGTGTCTCCACCAAAACCGAATAGGCCTACTGACACACAACCTCAATTGTGTGTGATTCCATAATATCATTTAAATGTGGTATATCCTGCAAGCCTACTTTTTCTTGAATTACACACGTTTAAGGTTAAAACAGCCAATCCTCAGATAGGTGCACACACGCCCTAATTAGTTATTTATACGTGCTGTTCTAATTTTGATTTCATTCTATTGTGAAACCTTTATTTTCACGTTTTTACCCTCTTGGTGACTACAAATGATATTCTGTATGCTAAAAAACTGATACCTCTATCAACATATTGCTATATGATATTACGCCGTCACAGAAAGTTGAAGGCTTGAAAATTAATGGCAACTTTTTGGGCAACTTTTGCCACTTTTTGTAGCAACTTTTAGCAACTTTTGGACAAAGAAAATGGCAAAAAACGCAGATGCTACGTTATAGGTGAGTATACATGTATACCATAATTTTCAATTAGAATTTGAGCATACACACATACACACTAAACAAACATTCACAGAGAGAGACAGAAACTCTCACCTCTAAATACATATAATTCACCAATAAAAAGACACTTTTCAAACATAGATCTATATATCACACAAAAGAATCACTTTCGTTGATGTTGGATAATCGGAGCTATTCAACTGTTCTGAAGCTTTAACATAAAAACGTAAAGGAGTGTCTACGTACACGGTAACCGGCAACCGGGCACCTAGCCTCAGTATCTACGTACACGGTTACCGGCAACTGGGCATGTAGTCTCAGTGTCATGTACACGGTAACCGGGCATGTAGCTTCAATATCTACATACACGGTAACCGGCAACCGGGCATGTAGTCTCAGTGTCATGTACACGGCAACCGGGCATGTAGTGTCAGTGTCATGTACACGGTAACCGGGCATGTAGTCTCAGTGTCAGCAGAGACTATAAAATTAAATACTCTCTAGTGTCACGTACACGGTAACCAGGCAGTTCAGAACTCGAAGTCTAGTTTTTGTCATCCGGTGTTGCCTTCATTCCCACCCCTCCCCCGACTGTACCTTTAAAAAAAAAATGTAATCCCCCCCCCCCCCCCCCCCCCATTCCGGAGCCCTATACTTCACAGCGCACAGTCTTTGAATGAACTTTGGTGACCCCAACCGGTAGGCCTACTCACAATGTGATGCACACGCACAGGTTCACTGACCTGTCACGATGGCGAGCCCGACAAGATGCTTGTGTGACTTTCTTTTTTTTCCAGCAAGTGACAGAAAAGGACAAATATTGATTTATTTTCATTCCGTTTACCGTGTACGTAGATACTAAGAGACTGTGCCCGGTTACCGTGTACGTAGATACTAAGAATAGGTGAGACTAGGTGCCCGGTTACCGTGTACGTAGATACTGAGACTAGGTGCCCGGTTACCGTGTACGTAGACACCTCAAAACGTAACAGCATTAAATTAGGACCCCCATCCCCCAGCCCTGAGCCTGATATACAGGATAATCCTGTTTTGGCCCCAAACGATAACTATGGAGAGTGGGTTTTGGCTCCACCGACTATTACTTCTCAGTCTGGTTCCAAACGATTATTTTTCTATATAACGTGTGCCGATATGGAGGAGATATAGAATCGATATCAAACCTAATATTACTAATAATTGCAAAACATCAAATTATGGTAAAATTCTCTCCAAGGGGCCATGCCCCCCTGCTTTTGTTAGGTCATAGAGCCATCCTTTTTTAGTGGCCATCTTATTGCTTATTGAAAATAGAAAAGCCAAGCTGATGGCACTTTTCAAGCAAACACAGATCACACAATCACACAGCAGAATCATCTCCCAGATATTGGCCTAGACTCTTCAAGACCATATAAAGCCTACACACTATCTTTAAGTAATGGAAACCAAGTTGAGCTTTGAAAGAAGCCTACTTCACTTAAATAAATCGTTACCCCTCCCAAATTCAATGTTATCCTAGATCTAGACCTTAATTTGGGGCAATCGAAGAGAAACATAGATCTAGATCTGATAAGACAGTCCTATCAGATGGATCAAACCTACTAAACTTGAATTGAGAGTGCTCTTCTTGTTGGGAAAATGAGAGTGAGAGAGAAAACGAAGCAGCAACCAAAACATGATCTTTGACCTCTTGAACCTACCAACCCTACCTTGGTATTAAAAATGGTTAAGAATGTTTTCAATTATTTAACTTGGTACAATTTTATGGAATTAAAATACCAAATTATTATGAAATGAAATAAATAATGTAATGAAAGCTCATTACATTTTATTTAAAAACTAACAAATATATGTTATAATAATTATCCCATATTTCTTTTTATTTTGGAACAATTCAAGACCGGGTTTAGAAAACGAAAGTGCAAGTTGTGAATGTTTCTTCCGTCGTAATATTATGTAAAAAGGGGTTTGGTCGACAGCCCGTCGACAGGCGTAACCAACTGAGTGTGAACTTCTGAGTTGAAGAGAAAAGCTGTGGCAGTGCAGATTGTATTACCAGTTATTGATTCTTTGGCTGCAAAATGACGTTCCACGTATGTGTTTAATAGATATTTACTTAATTTACTTGATTTAAAATGAATGTTGAGGGCTCGTCAAACAATTCTTAATCATGGGTGGTTGTACTTGTAGTTGTAGATATCTAGATCTAGATCTAGATATCTAGATAAATCTAGATTAGATCTAGATTCTAGCTAGATTTCTAGAATCTAGATCTCTAGATCTAGATGTAGTGTAAGGCCTACTCGCAGTCTAGCCGTACTTATTCTTATTATGATGGCTAGACTCACCATTTACAAAAAATAGGCCTACTGAATTGTAAATATACATTTTTAGTGTGCAGTACTTTCTTAAAGTATTTGTATTTGAGACGAAACCAGGTGCCTAACCTAAATGACAGTGCATGTATTTTAAACCTCCTGTTTTCTAATGTTAATAGGGCCTAAGATAAGTACGGCTAGACTGGCAGTCTAGCCATACTTAAGTACGGCTAGACTTCTTGTCTTGCCGTACTTAAATACGGGTAGACAGCCAGGCTAGCCGTACTTAAGGACGGCTAGACTGTCAGTCTAGCCGTACTTAATATTGATGGCTAATTGTAAATGAAATTTTTAGTTTGCAATGCCTAAAGTATTTGTATTTCAGACAAAACCAAAAGGTGCCTTACTGACTTGCAAGTTGCATGTATTTGAACCTGAATAATTACTAGATCTAGATCTGAGACCTGTGTACTTAACAGGCTTGAGTCGATAGGGCCAAACCTAGACTAGATCTAAGTACGGCTAGACTGGCAGCCACTTCGATTACATTAATGTTGTTCTTGAGACTACAGAGTAACAGACCATTGGAGACTGAAGTCTTTCCTCATACTTTGCATAAACTTGACGAAACACTGTGTTTGTTGTTTTGTTATACTCAGTGTGCATCGCCAATTTAGTTCAGCCAAACTAAGTAGGGTGAGCCTAGATTTTACTCCATGAAGTATGATGAAGTAGCAAACGCTACCATTTCGGCACAACATATTACAACTGATTCAACGCATCCTTGTGTAATTCGGGGGCGCAATACGGCTGGATCGGGCCGATCGCCTGAAACTGAAAACAAACACGTTTGTTTTTTAGTCGATCGAGTCGGGCAATCGGCCGATCCCATCCGTAGTGGGCACCCCGTATAAAAAGAAATTGATTTGAATTTGATGTTAAAGATCACAATCTATTTTAGTCAAATTGTTCAGATGGTTGCCTTTACCCTTCCATGGAGTAAAATCTGGCTGACCCTGACTCTGTTTAAATAAAATTGATTGGCAGTGTGTGTTCGAAATGTTTTAGACTGTCCAACTCCTACTTGCATAATTTTTGTAGAAAAATTCATGTGAAACGTTTAGAAGAATACCCGCTATTTTAAGCAATTTAATCAAATTCCAGATGGATATGGAGGATGCAGTTTGAAGTGGTATAGGTTCTACTATTGTTCTATATTCTACTGTTGATTTTTTTTTTTTTAGTTTAAAAACTTGTTCCAGCTTACAGCAGTTCTACCGGTCTTGAGCTGACATCAACAATTCTGGCTTTCCTTTGACATACAAAGCTGAAACTGTAATATATTATAGTAAATTTAACTTCTTTGCAATTTAGATTGATTTTGGCCAAGAACAGTTATCATGTTATAAAAGTATCATTTCATTTATGTTTCAACAGGTAATTCCTTATTCTTTTTATGAATCGGGAACGACATATTTCTGGGTACACTTTGGACTGGTGATCCTCGGATTTGTTGTTGCTTTGGCTACGTGCATTGGCCAGTGGGTCAAACCTGCGCCGTACGGTAAACATGAAAGAGAGGTAATTTTGTCAAATCTTTTAATTACTGTACATCTCTTTTATCTTCACTGGTGGAACCAAAGAAGAGATTATAGCTTTTTATATATATTTTTATTTTTTTTTATTTAAAAAAAATAATTTTTTAATGAAATAAAGAAATGGGGTATAAATTATATTAGCCTCATGTTTATCTGATGTTTTGGGGCTGTACGGTATATTAAAAAAAAGATTTAAAATGAAAGACTTAGTTGTGTAGATGTGTGCGTACCGGTATGAAAGTGAGAGAGAGAGGTCTGAGAAAGTGTTTGTGTGTGTGTGTGTTTGGGTGTTGACAAGTGCATGTGTATAATTGTATTTACTTGAGTCACAAATTTCTCTCCGTGAAGATCAATAAATAAATCAATAATCTGATGAACTTATCTTACGTTTGAAGAAAAAGGAAAAAGACCTTGCCTTGTGTACTATGTACTAGAAGAAAGAAAAAAAGCAATTAGTTTTGACCAAAGTTTTTTCCTTTTCCTTTCAGCATACTGTACTGTACTTTGTGGATATATTCAAGCTCATTTATTTTTTTATTTTTCTACAGGATCCTAACTGGGGTCCAAAAATTCCCCAGAGGCTGAGCCACATCATCTCTGATGCTCTCACAGGGATCATTATGTTTTCATTGGTTTGTATTTTTTAGAAGCATATCGTGTCCACCATGTATGTGTGTATGCACATTTGTGTGTGTGTGTGTGTGTGTGTGTGTGTGTGTGAGAAATAGAGAGAGAAAGAAAGTCTGTGTGTGCGAGAAGTGTTTGTGTGTGTGTTGTGTTTATTTTAATTCTGTCTTTTTTGGCCCTTGCCAGTTGCCTCATCGGGCAATGATAATCCATTCTTTTGTTGTAACTTACATAGAGCATTATATCCTTAATTCAAAATAAGATAATGTTTCATTTTTTTCTTCATTGTCCTTACACTGGTATTGAATAAATGCTTTCTGTTTGCTTTCCAGTATTAAAAATAATGTAATATCAAGAAATTATGAATTTTAACCCCGGGACTATGGGAAGGAAAGTGTTCCTTTGTTCCGAGGTTTTTGCTGTTGTGTATATATATATATATATATATATATATATATATATATATATATATATATATGTATATGTATATATATATATGTATATGTATATATATATATATAGGTTTTAACTCTTTCTTGTCTGTCTGAGATGAAGTGAACTAATGTTTATTCCATCGTTGTACAAACATTCTTCCACAGGTTTTCTTTTTATACAGCAGAGAGGTTGCCGACAAAGGTGTTCTCAATTATGTTTTCTATGGACTATTCCTGATTCATACACTTCACCGGTGAGTAGAGATAGCCTGTGAGTAGAGATAGCCTGTGAGTAGAGATAGCCTACTGTAGGAAGCAGGGAGGAAATGATGGTTTGTCTGTCATTATGTATGAGTACAAAATACACTCTAGTAGTATTAATGGTCATATTTAGGTACATGCATGCTCTGTCACAGGCTCATGAACATGAACAAATGCATACGAGATTGTAAAATTAAAATGCTTTGCTTCTCATAGTTTAAAAAAAATCTTTCTTGTGACTGAAGTTTGCAAGCAGTCTGCTGCCTGACCATTATGTGACTACCCCTCAGAGACAGTGGAACATCATCTGTTCTTCTGTAGAAAACTAACTGATTTAAGGGGATGTTCTCTTCCCAAGCTACCCCACACATCTAATTGCCTCTACTCCTCAAGACAACAATTAGAACAAACCTGCAACTATTACCGAATGGCATCATACAGAAGAGCTCAGATGCTACTGGATCGCTAACAATGACTGAAGTTTGCCTATTTACTTTCGTTCCTGGATCTGTTGTGCCTGTAAGATTATGTAGTGTTATATTTTCATAAATTCAATTGAAAAATTAAATGCAATAATTAGAAATTAGTTGGGGGGGGTTTTGGGGGGGGGTTTGTAAGAGGATCCTGCTGCTGCTGTTTCTATTTTGTCTGTATATTTCACTACCACATTTTTAAAAAGAAGTAATTTTGGTATTTGAATCGATTTTTAAAAAAATTATGTTGTATTGTTAAGTATGTTTTTGTTGTTTTAGTTATTTTCATTAATTCTTTCCGTTCATTTCAGAGGCCTACTGCACCCATTGACTATGAGATACAGAAGTGCAACAGTTCCTATTGGGTCAGTGTACTTAATAACAAGGGGCTTTCCTTTCGGTCCTTCATGTCGTAAAGATGTAACTTTATTTTGCTGTATGTTGCACAATATGAGGAGTAATTGAATATTATGTCTGAGCAGTGTTTGATATTATCTAGAAAGTTTGCTTAAACTTTGTTTGGTTTTTGCCTATAACGAAGACTTATCTTACTAAAGCAATTAAAATTTCAAAGCAAAACGAAGAACTTGTTTGTAATTAAGTTCTTTTCAGGGCTTGATATCTATTTTATTTGGGGAGGAATGCAATGTATAAGAAAAGAAGAAATGAAGTGTTTTAAATGAAAAAAAAAAATCACTTTTCTTCTTTCCCTTGTGATTAGTATCATTTGAGAACTTTATTAACGCCTTCAGTGACCCTTAAGTGTAGTCTCTTGAGCAGTGTTTTTTTAATTCAGTGCATAATTATTTTTTTTCAGAATCACCATCGGAGGCCTGTTACCAAATGTCCTTTACCAGTGGTTAATCGCCAACCATATTGGTGTTGCAGGCTATGACAGTTCATATCCCTAGTGAGTGAAAACTATGTTTTGTCTTCTGTTTGCTTAGGGATTTTTACTGCACTTAATTTTTTTTTTTCATTTAGTACATCTAAAGGGTGATATTACTTGATATGAAGTGTGTTTTTGTTCACCTTTTTTATGTTTTAGAAAGTGTTATACTTTTTTTTAAAATAAGTGATGTTATGAATCCTGGAAAGAAAAAATTATTGTGTTTTAAAAACTAGCAGTGTGTAATTTTGAGTAGTATATTATAATGATTTCTAAAAACTTTGTTTGATAAGAGAACGATTATACAATCCAACTAATTATTTAAAATGTTTTAGTAGAGCAAGTGACTTTTAATGTTATATTAGGACAGACACGACAAATGTACGGAGATTTTTATTTTCTCTAGTGACCCAAGGTTCCTGCTGGGCATCCTACTCTACGTGATTGGCTTTGTCATCAACCGTTGGGCAGACTGGAAGCTGAGGTCGCTGCGTGAGATTAAAGGTCAAGAGAATCACAGTTCCATGATAGACGGTGGTGGTGGTGGTGGTGGTGACGGTATGATAGTGACTGTAGCCGCGACGTTGAGTCTGTCAGTTCCCACTTTGAAATGGTCTTTCTGTGTGAAATTAGCGTTAACTTGATCCCAAAATTAATTTTAAAGTGTGCCATTCTGACCAGAAAGAATTACATTTTGTGTGAAAGGCATTTATTGAACTTTTACTACATTTGAACAAATACTTGATAAATGTAAGTCATGATAGATGACAGCTAGAAAATGTAACAAGGAGACCTTAAAAATCTTTACTTTGTATGACAAATTGTCCAAATGCTCCATTGCACAAATCATATGTTCATGTTGATTATATTGTCAAGTGAGACAATGACTCTGGTCAAGTTCAATTAGAAATGTAGATTTTTAAAAAGAAAAAAATAGACAACTTACTGACTTAAAGAACCCTCAATAAAATTGAAACTCAAAGTAGTTTACATGTTTACTCATGCTACGAACAAGAGCACACTATCTTTACACTTCTTTTCTCTCTTTTCAATACACTAATTTTATCACAGGTTATTTTTGGGCTCCATGTTAGAACTGCTACCAAAATTCATTCTTCTTTTTTCTAGTCATTGCCTGTAAAGTTGTTGTCTGATTTGTTAATAACTTAAATATGGAGTCCAAAAAATGACCGAAGAAAGATCATTAAAATTCGTGCAATGATCAAGTAAGGTAAGATGTTCCCAACAACCTCCACACACACATGCTCTCTAACACACTGAAACACACACTCACACATGCGAGTACACACGTGTGCACACACACATGCACACATATGCACACACACATGCACGCATATGCACACACACACGCACGCACACAGACACACATGCACGCACATAGATCTATATATGCACACACACTTGCATGCAGGCACGCACACACATGTGCATTTACCCTCACGCTGTCAAATGCACTTGCAATGTGCAAAAGAGGCTGATTCAAATATTATATTATACATTTATGAAATTTATACATGCTCATAATAAGTTGTTTTTTTCTCTTTCTTCTCTCTAGGCTGTAATGGATATTACATCCCATACGGAGGCTTATTTGATCTTATTGCCTGTCCCAACTACTTTGGAGAACTGGTGCAATGGATTGGGTGGTAAGCATTTTGCCGTTTTTAATACAAGCTTTTCTGATATGAGGTGTGTATGGCATCATACATGATATTATGGTATATAATATACACATGGTGACCATATATTTTGTACGAAATTTGTTTCATTAAATTTGTCTTTTCAAAGCAGTTTTAAGCAATTTCAGAAAATAGTTACAGTATCTGTGAAGGGTTATTGATTTGATGTTTATGGTCATCGAATTGTTTCTTGTTTTGTCATCTTGTAGGATGTAGTTGTTCTGAGAAGTGAAAAATCAGCACAGAATTTTTTTAATTGCACCCCTCCACCACCCCACCCCCGCCCATCTTTTTCCTCCATTCTGTCCCTCACTACTAACACATATTGTAATGATGTATTGACAAACACAGGGCTTATGCATGAAATGAAATAAATGAGTGGGCACATCTTGTCAGAGAGAAAATTACAACTTTCAGAAAAAGAGTTTTCCGTACCTCTCTTGACTTGTTTTGAGGTGGATTGACAGTCCCCTACACCTTTTTAGCCCTCTCCGTACACCCTGGGGTCATTCTGTACGCCCTGGGGTCATTCTGTACGCCCGGGTTGTATTCTTCACATTTAAGAATACTTCTAGTGCAAAGATATCTTTGAAACTTTCAGTATTTCTCTAAAAATCATTTTGACAGACCGTTATGCAAAACGTAGGAATCGGATTAACGAGTAAATTTCCTCTTTGGAAAGTGGGGCACAGAGTTCCCCACGTCGTATGGATACGATAGTAAAACACGACGTAACGATAGGGTTATAGTTGTATGTACTGGAACAGAGGACATGTGGAGTCTTGTTACATAGTATTCTCAAATTCTGTCATAAACTTTTTTGCACATTGCATCCATGTTTACCCCATTTGTATTCCCCACCTGACCAATAAAACTATGCCCGCGGTTTTATGCAAAAAAAATTTCTGAAATTATGCAAACTGAGCCCAAAAATGTGAAATTATACGATTCTGTTAATTTTAATAGAGAATGATAAAGGAAAATAACCAGAAATTATGCAAAAAATGATCAAATTATGCGGGGTGCTTAAAACCCCGGGGACAGATAAAAATTCTTCTTTTGAAGCAAGAATCACGCTCAGCTCATATCATGCTTACACTCTTTCTGTTTTGTGTCGTGTTCAGGACACTAGCCACCTGGTCCTTGTCTGGTGTGGTGTGGACCTTATTCTGCGCTGCTACGTTTTTTGCTCGGTCCAGGCACAACTTGCAGTGGTGAGTAACTCTAATTCCTTACGTGGAGTGACTTGAATGACGTTACGATACCTGATGTATTATTTTTACATTATAGTCACAAAATTAGATCATGCTGTTAGCTTTTCTGTTGTCATGAGACAAAAAAGGGAGTGGCGGTTATCTTTTTCTTGTTCAGGCAGAATACTCAAAAAAAAGGTGGAGGGGATTTAGAATTTATTAACCCTCCCCGTACGTCGTGTTTTACTATCGTATCCATATGACATGGGGAACTCTCTGCCACCTCTTTCCAAAGAGGAATCTTACTCGTTAATCCGATCCGTACACTTTGCATAGCAGTCTGTCAAAATGATTTTTTGAGAAATACTGAAAGTTTCTAAGAGATCTTCGTACTAGAAGTATTCTAAAATGCGAAGAATACAACCCGGAGGGTACAAAATGACCACCCCAAGGCGTAAGGATAGGGTTAAGGGAGCGAAATATCTGCACCAGCATGTAAAGTAATTGCTTGTGTTCCGACATATTATAGAAGAGGATACTTTCCTATTTTTTATACTGACCCAGCAGTGATTTGAGCCTATGTTCTTCAGCTAAGATGTGGAGCGAAGTTTATTTATATAATGCTGAAGAAGGATTTACGTAAGAGGATATGGATGTTGTCTTACTTATGGACATAATTTACCTTGTTCCCCAATAAATGTTTTCCCCCTTCTTTCTTGAGGCAAAAGCATTTAGTTATAGTTTATAGTACTGGAGTCTTCATCCTTAGAAACTGAAAGCAGACTTGACTTTAGAGTAATGTCCTTGACTGGTGTGTCCGCTTCAAATTTTCTATATCTCACCCTTCTTTCTTGAGGCGAAAGGATTTAGTTATAGTTTATAGTACTGGAGTCTTCATCCTTAGAAACTGAAAGCAGACTTGACTTTAGAGTAATGTCCTTGGCTGCATGGTGTGTCCACTTCAAATTTTCTATATCTCAGTAGTGATATACATAGTAGTTGGTAACTTATGAAGAAACTATGTTGGTATTAAAACACTACCATTTGCATTGTTCATCTCTGTTGATAAATCGGTTATCATTGATATGAAACTGATAGAAGAGGAAAACAAAAAAAGTGCTTATCCAGAGATCCAACTCACAGTTTTAAGTGAGATTTTCACTAAACTACTAATGTCCTTGGCTGCATGGTGTGTCCACTTCAAATTTTCTATATCTCAGTAGTGATATACATAGTAGTTGGTAACTTATGAAGAAACTATGTTGGTATTAAAACACTACCATTTGCATTGTTCATCTCTGTTGATAAATCGGTTATCATTGATATGAAACTGATAGAAGAGGAAAACAAAAAAAGTGCTTATCCAGAGATCCAACTCACAGTTTTAAGTGAGATTTTCACTAAACTACTAAACTGCAGGGGTAGGCCACGGGAAACATGGAGGAGATGCGTGGAAAGGGACATGAGAGAAATTAAGCTCACTTGGAAGGATGGCCCAGGACAGAGATAAATGGAAGGAGCTTGTATGTGGCCTATACCCTGCCAGGGGTGAAAGGCATTGATGACTAAACTGGGGTTTCTCCTGTTATTAATGTATACTTCTTTGGACTTACTAGTTTAGAAAGCAACAGGTTTAAGTTAAACTGTTTAATTTTTTTATTTTTTTTTTGGGGGGGGGGTTGTTGCTTTGGATCTGCATGGAAAAAAAAAACCCTCCAGTTTGAAACTGGTCTTATTTTCAACATGGATGTAAACTTTATTAAATTTTATCAAAAGAATCCTTTCTTTTTTTTTCATTCTTGTTTGAATGAGTTGTGCTATTTCAGGTCAAGCTGACAGGATTTGATTTCCCTTCTTTTGTTCTCTTTTCAGGTACAGGGATCAGTTTCAACATTATCCTCCAAATCGGAAAGCTCTTATTCCGTTCATATTTTGATTTTCTTTTTCTTTTACCATAAAATTAAGAAAAAGGTGCTCCAATTCTCAGTTATGTGTTACGTGTACTGACTTTGTTCCATATTTCTGTGAATTTGGTTTTGTTTGTAGGCTTTGTAAGAGTTTTAATGTTAATGGTTAAAGAGTACACATTGTCAAGATCGGGTTGATTGAAGAAGAAATGTTATATTTTTGTTATGTCACATTGCTGTGAGACATTTTGTGATCTTCTTTCCTCTACTTTCAGCTTTATTCCCAGACACTGTTATAGTAGTGCTGGGTACCATGTCGAGGGGATTTCCTTTCTCCAGATACTTTTATTGTTTTGTTTTGCTCCAATTCTATACCTTTTGTAGTGGAAGTATGTATATTTTGTGTACACTTTTTTAAATACAATGACT